GAGAGAGAGAGAGAGAGAGAGAGAGAGAGAGAGAAGCCTGCTCGAATTCAGTCTGGTGCACACCGTTCGCGCTAAAAATGCAAGTGATGTGAATGAATGCGCGCGCGCGCATGTATGCATGCCGAGCACGACAGGACAGCATCTCCTCCACCACCCGCCCTGAGCAAAGGCGTCGCAATTGACGGGCGAAATCATTCGAATGCCAGACCCAAGACTAGACTTTGTGCAGCGAGCGCCCTTTCGCAAGCTTTGTTGGCATCTGCGTTTGCGTTTGCAGCTCCGAGGGCATGTGTGGATGTGGTCGTCTGTGCTGTCGTGCATGCAGCGATGCAGTCAAAGCACGATGATCGCCGGCGCCGGGCGCCGGGACGTGACTTTTTGACTGGGACTGGGACTAGGGCAAGCGAGTCTGGAGCGTGCAGCCCGATTGCTGCGCTGCCTTCTAGATAAGCTGAGCGGCACTCGATCAATGGTCTGGCACAGCCCATCCACTTGACGACCCACATCCTCCTCCGCTTCGCTTCGCTCCTCTTCTCTTTCCTCCTTCTCCCTTGCCCCTCATTCCGTCCACCGTCATCCCAACCCTTCCTATTCGTTGCCCAACATGGCGACCCAGGCAATGGAGAAGACCCTGTATCATGCGCAGGTATCACTCATCAACGCATATGCCCTGCTAGCAATCGAAGCCTACAACTTTATCCTCCAAACACCCGCAGATATCGAGATTTGGAAACTTCAGATTGCCATTTGGAAAGGCCAAAGACCAGGTCCGAAGCTGAATCTGTCTTGGATGTTCTACCAGGCCGTGCGATGGTCCATCTTGCTCAATGTCCCGGCCGCCCTGCTCGTCAGTGGCCGACCGGCTAGCTGCTCTGCTACGCTCAAAGCGGACTGGGCAATCTTGACACTCGCAGAGACCGCATCCGCCCTCCTCTTTGCCTTTCGAACCATGGCCATCTGGCGCGGAGCTCTTTGGGTCAAGATCTGTATGGGCTTTGGTGTCTGCTGCGTTCTCGGCGTATGGGTCTCCATCATCCCATTCTTGGGCGCGACAAATCTTCCAGCTGCACCTTCGTACGGAGCGGGCTGGTGTGCTGGTCTAGTTGCGCCATCCTGGATCTCCGCTGCCTACTTTACAAGCGCCGCTTTCGACCTGGCGGTCGTCACGCTCACATTCTACACGTACTCGAGGAGCCGAATGGATCTGCTGGCTGGTCGACGTCGTAGCAGCACCACTGGCACTGCTCCAGCAACCAGCACACCTCTTCTACTCTTTTACAGAGATGCAGGCGGCTTCTTTGCGCTGAGCTTTGCCGCGCACCTCATCAACGGTATCTGGCAATTGACGCTTCAAGATCCAGTGCTCATCACGCTCTTCCAGCCATACGCCACTGCGGTCGTCTTGGGAGCAGCTCCTCAAGTGTACATCAATCTACGTCTGCACGGCACTACAAGACAGGCGCCCGCTCCCTCCAGCTCCTACAAAGAAGGCGCCAGTGGCACCGGTACAGGGGGACCGAGCAGCGGCGGAGCAGGAAACAGCGCTGCAGCTGTCAGGAGGCAGCGCCACCAGAATGCTCTGCGAGCGGATCCCTTTGACCCGAACGGTGATCCCAACGAAATGTACCACAATGCGGATGGTACCGGCATGCTGCCGCTCTCTGCCGGAGGCGCGCAGTCGACCAGCTTCCAAAAGCGGGGAGGGGCCAATGTCGGTCTGGCCTCTCCTACCGGCTGGCAACGCACTCCCGAGTCGATGACGAGCCCCATGTTCGCAGCAGCAGCAACGCCTTACCAGATCCAAAGTGGCGATTACAAGTCTCCCAGACTTGACGACGAGCGAGAGTCGTTATCGAGCGCGATCAACTTTGCCGGCTTCAACAGCAGCGTGGGCACTGCTCCGCTGCATCCCGAGCCGCCTTCGCCCACTTCCGTCCCAGCGGAGAGCAACGGCATTCCCTTGAGGCTCAAGGGCTCCCTCGACGCCCACGATGCTCGAATGGACCCGCTTTCGCAAAGAGCCGTGTTCGACCAGAGGTCTCAACATGCGCCCATGGGCTCTTCCACACCTCTACACGCCGATTTCGAGATTGTCAATGAGCGTCAGCCTCAGGTGCCTCGGAGTAGCGACTTGGGAATCGGCATTACGACGCATATTCAACAATTTCGGGATTGATTGGGGTCGAGCGTGGAGCTTGCGTTGCGTTGCGTTGCGCACATTGCAAAGGAGGGATAGCATAGCATAGCGTCCCGCTCGGAACCCATGGCTTTCGATTTCTCTTCTTCTTTCACCTACTCTGTCTTTCGGGAGAGAGAGCCCGCGAATGAATGGCGGTGCTTTTTGTACCTCTTTTCCTCCTGCCTGTATCCACCCGCGCGTTTCTTTCCAGGGCGCAGTGCAAAGTAATGCGATTTGGGCACGTGCTTGAGCTGAATCGCCGATTGCAACCTCCAGCCAGCCAGCGAGGTCAAAGCAGAGCTGGCAACGGTGATGCGGAGCGATGAAAAGGGTAGAAGAGAGATGAAAATCATCGCAGGTATGTTGTCCATTTGCGACACACACACTCACACACACGCACGCACGTATGCACGCACGCACGCACACTCGCCAATTCGGGTCGCTTCGATTCGGCCTTTAGCTCGATCGAGCTGGACGTATATATGTGCAGCTAGCGCAATGCAACGCAGCGCAACGCAACGCAACGCAACGCAACGCAAGGCGCCATGTCTTTGCTTGAAACATTGTGATTGCATAAGTGAAAGCGCTACAGATTGCTCTTGTACTCGTGACTG